TCAGACATTTAAAGAAATAAATCTTTAATTATGGAATGATTTCAGCCTTAAAAACTGCATAATTCAGAATATNTGTATGCTACCACAAAGTACTTAAATTATTATTACTAAAACAAGTAAACGGCAATTAAAGCAATATTAAGTCGCGGAATGGCTGTAAAGTATAGAAATTTTACAGGGAAAAAATTTCTTAGAGAATTTTAAAATATATATATATATTTATTTATTTATTTATCATTTTAAACCTTCTAGGAGTATGAATGTAGACAATACAAAACGGCATAACGGTTTGTTAAAGTGAATTTAGTGAGAGCCGAGCAAAGTATATTTAATTTCCTCTATAGGAAACATGCAGAATTCCAAATATTCTTTCTATTGATATAATATAAAATGACATATAGTTTCATTTTAGAAAATAAACCATAAGAATAAAAGAAAAGAAAAAATAAAATAAAAACCAAAAAGGGGAAAAAATAAAAGCAAAACTAAAAATGCTTTGGTGGTATCGTTAGATAGTAATTCAAATACATTCAGAACATCCGGAGAAGTTTTGCAATTGGACTGCGCTTATATTTCAGATATTTTATACGGTTCCTAAATCAGTAGATTTATTGCTTTTGGCGAATAGTAGAGAATTGCGACGAGAAAAATAGAAAAAAGAAAAAAAAGATATTCGGGGTAGCAAAAATGCTACAGACTCGAAATCCACTTATCTACCATGTAAGTAATTTCTCTCCTCCCGCATATAAAATAAAATTTAAGATATATTTTCTATTAATAAGTTTATATTGTTTATGAAATCAATAAAAATAAGCATAACATTGATCCATAAAAGTCTGTACTACAATATTGGAAGCAAGTAAGGAGACTTGTGCAGTCTAGGATAAACCCATACAAGCTGATCATGCTTCACTAGAAATGGTGATACGAATGAATTGTTTGTTACTCAAAGGATAAGTTATCTTTCTTATTTAACAAGTGGCAAGTTAGCAACTCATATCAAAGAAAAAGAAGAAGAAGAAAAAAAACAAAGTTATGAAAAGTAAATTTATTGTTTAAAGTGCTGCAAGTAATAAATTTCATAATGATAAATCAATCTATTTAGTACAAGAAAATGTAATCCAATAGGCGATGTTATTCTAGTAAACTAAGATAATAGATCACACTGATTGATAACATATTGCGATTATCGGTAAACCTATTATTCCACTAATACCAAACTCGAATCAGATTTAGTAATTACTAAAATCCTATTTAAGTATCGGGTTTTCAAGTAATTTCAAATTATTGCTCTTGTTTCATTATTTAATGGAAATTGTGTAAAAATTAATTCTAGCAATTAAGAATATAACTTTAGAACTTTATAATCTTTAATGTATTTACTAAACAAACCCCTTAGGAGACTCTAGATAAGGAAATTTAGTTATTAAAGTGGTCTGGTTGGTAGTCAAAAGTAAAAAATGTATATATATATATACATAAATATTTACAGTCATTAAATTCAGTAAAATGTATCTCTACAGAAATGTTATGTGCATTTTGTTGTTGCTATGTTACTTCACGATAAAAATATACAAGAAAATTTTTTTAAATATTTGATATTTAAGTCTCTATATATATATTTTTTTCTACAATAAAAAGTAAGGAAAAGAATATATGTTTGTATATTTTATTGTATAGATAATTGAAGAATGACTTTATTTCTAATAAAAATGTAAAAATTAATTTTTCAATTATCTGATTCCAAACACGTAATGCGTTAGTTAAGCGTTTACAATAGTAAAATCTGTTTTGGGGATTAACATTAATCGCAACAAAGCTGATTGACAATGATTGTTTTTCCAATTACAAAGAAATTCTACTTAGCAATCACAATCGTAATTGAAAAAGGTAATCCTATGTTTGTCTTTAACTAGCTTTAACAAGATTTTCTATCACAGCAGTAGTATTTATATATTTGAAATTTTTAACACGTTTATATTAAAATTATTTATTAAAAAAATAATAAAAATAAAATATTACATGTCTGGATTATAAAACATAATTGAAAAATCTAATTTCGTTAAATAAAAATTCCATTTTTATTTTCCTAGTTTTAATCCATTTAAATGTATTAAATAAAGAAATTTTTATATGTAAATTTATTTTTTTTCCAGCTGTTTTAAATACAAATGAAAGTATTTCAATAAAACATTATACAGTATGTATAAAAAGGAATTATTTAAAAGGTTCTGACATAATCTTACTTCATTTGAAGTGAAAGATAATTAAATCTCATTGACCTTTTTTTTATGACAGAAAGAGAGTATGCTAAATGCGGAACATAAAGAAAATTATTTGATTAATATATTGGATTATTATGTAATAAAATGGGAGTAGGTAAAATGGCAAAGGATATTTTTGTACAGAAGGAAACCACTAAAATCTGAAATGAAAGTTATCTACTAATGAAATTCTTCAGGAATATTGCTCTCGATGTGTGGAAAATGCTAGAGAAAAGTAAAATCCATACAATTTAAAAATTTCCACAAAGAAAAATAATGCAAATTAGTTAAATAAAAAAACAAAAACAACAAAAACTTCTGTACAATTTACTACTGAATAAATTATATTAAGTATGACTCACTCAGGAGTAAATTATTGTAACTTTGATAAGCTTTTAAAAAATAATGAAAATTTGTATAATTTCTGTAGTAATTTCTTTTAAAAAGTTTCATAAATTTTATTTATTTTTTTATTTTAAAGTAATAGTTTTGTCTTTATCACTCACTACAGTAACAGAAAATACTACTATTGATCAGAGAGTTAGACAAGCAAATAAAATTTAAGGACTCAATTAGGGTGGCATTGTGCAACAGTTGGTAGTGTTACCACCCATCTGGTTTTCATCCAAACAGTCCGGGTAAATTATTAATTTTGTCCAGGAATATCGTGCGCAACCTGTCGACCTTTTTTTTTCGTTTGTACGATTCATATTCGTACACATCTCCAATATCCAATAGAACCAAGTCATCTGTAGTTGTTTTTTCTTAATTTAGTTACTTACGTTACTCCTAGCCAAGTCTCCCAAGTACCTAACTGTAACTGATTTAGAACCGGCATGCACTGCACGTTATTCTTCGCATTGCAAAATGACATTACGCATGCATCAGGAACTTCTGTTCGAACAAACCTCACCTGCCGCTAACACTAACAGTTGGGTATAATTCTAACATTGAGTTTAAAACCCTATTGATTGTTTATAGCTTGTCAACAGATATTTATAACAAACTACTTTGTACAATGGAGGACATTTATAACAATGTCCATGTAATGCACTNTATTTATTATTATAAATCTATTTTAATTAATATTCCAATTAATTATTTTTTGCTTTTATCATATTTATTTTTTTATTCTTTTGAAAGTGATTCTTTCAAACTATTAGATTAACAACTGAACGAGATGAATTAGAAAAAAAAGAAGAAGAAGAAGAAGCAAAGTGTATTGTACTTTATCAGAATCTCAATTTATAGACAATGTGACTTTTCGCTAACTTCAGCATTTTCATTTAGAGTTAATGAACTTTACTTGTAATTTAGCTCAGGTCTTTAGAGTGCAAATACCGGTTAAAGTATTAATTTTATGCATTTATCTATGATCAATCTCCTTTAAATAAAACGAAGAAAAAAATTGACATGGCCATTGTCGTACGAAACACATCTGCTCTTTTAATATTATATTTAAACAATAATAAGATGAAGAGTATGCTATCAAACTTACAAGACATATTTTATAAAGAATATTTAAAGCCCTTTGCTGTTTTATTACAGCTTTCGAACCTGTTAACTTCAACAGAGATAAGCTTTTATAGTATTTTATTGATATATCTCTAGTACCTTCGACTTCACAACTTATCTACATGCCCGAAGATAAGAGGCTAATCTGATTTTTGTAACATATTCTGATATTACGAAATGTATGCTACCACAAAGTACTTAAATTATTATTACTAAAACAAGTAAACGGCAATTAAAGCAATATTAAGTCGCGGAATGGCTGTAAAGTATAGAAATTTTACAGGGAAAAAATTTCTTAGAGAATTTTAAAATATATATATAAAGTATTTTTACTCAATAAATTACATTTTTATGTTTTAAAATTTTCATTATAAATCATTAAGCAAGTTAAAACATAGATATAAAATAAGATTTAAAATAAGTAAACATTAGAAATTTTAATAGATTTTCAGATTGTAAATTTATATATTCATTAATCATCTGTATAATTCATTTCATAAACTAAATGTAGCGTAATAGTAAGGTTAAATACGAGAAAGGTTCAATGGATTGAGTGCAACTTNGATAGTAATTCAAATACATTCAGAACATCCGGAGAAGTTTTGCAATTGGACTGCGCTTATATTTCAGATATTTTATACGGTTCCTAAATCAGTAGATTTATTGCTTTTGGCGAATAGTAGAGAATTGCGACGAGAAAAATAGAAAAAAGAAAAAAAAGATATTCGGGGTAGCAAAAATGCTACAGACTCGAAATCCACTTATCTACCATGTAAGTAATTTCTCTCCTCCCGCATATAAATTCTTCTGCTTATATTTTACAACACTGTTAAACAAGTTGTTTAAGAATTTGAATATTCGAAAAAAAAATAATAATAAAAACTTTCTTCGAGGGGTAATCTACTCCAATCCATAAAATTTTGATTATTTTTTTATGAATTTTTATCATTTAAACATTACGATATAAAAATCATTTTTTCCTGTAACCGTTTATTAACATTAATTTAAATTTACAAAACGTAATTTAATTTAAACGTCACGTATTTTTATTTTATTTTAATTTCCGAACACGTAATATATATATATTATCCTTATATAATATATATATATATATATATATTATATAAGGCGAAATTTAATTTTAAAATTATCGTATAGTTAAAGCGATTTGAGATTATCTTACAGGCGCGAAACATTAGCGAATGTACCTGTATCACTTACCTGTAGAAAACAATCCTCTCGGATGAGCAATAAAGGAAAAGACTATGGTCGAGAACCAACAACTAACTCTATCGGACCACATACTTCCCACGTGTTTTATGGTACTTTTTAGCTTTCACTGTTCAGAAAAAAAGGGACAGTTTCAGTTGAAGTCAACAGATGCACAAGCGTCGTGTCATTCGATTTGTCCATTATTTTTATGTATTGATATTATTATTAAAAATCCAAAGATAAGTTGGAAGAGTTAGCCGAGTCTATGTCCTGCTGGGTCATCAGAAGTATTCCAACTAACTTACGCCTGCTCAGCCCCGTCTCAACGTTTTGGTGCAGCATGTGGAAGATACCATTCCTTCAGCTAGGGGAGAGTGTAGAAATCGATTCAGCACTGCTTCAGACCATATTTCTCAGCGTTTATACTCAGACTTTCTGTTGGATGCTACTTCAACGATTTATTTTGTTCTTTTACCGGACGTATTTGTATTGCATCAATTTTTTTTATTCGATAATTCATACACGAATTCTGCTAAAAATTTCTTTACTCGTTATTCTCGTCTTTGTCGTTATAGATTTCCTTTTTTATATATAAAAAAATTTAAAGGTAAACAACAATTTAAAAATAAAAAAATTTACATATGAGTTTCAGCTTCTTTAGTCTTTTTTTTTGTAAGAGGAATTTTTAAATAGTAAAAATTTTCTACTCAAATATCGCGCGAAATCTCCCGGGATTTTTATTCTTTACTATTGCCACCCCTCCACCCAATTGCACTGTTATTGGCACTTTTGGTAACAACCTCAACTCTGCTTTTTTTTTCTTAATAAGTAGATAATGAATTTAAGAGATGTGACACTTCTGCTGAAAGGGCTATAGCTTTCTGCTAAACACTTCGCTTGAGTAAATCGTGTATAAAAAAGAATTGTTTTGGTGATACAGAAAGGAAAAAAAAGAGTAGTTGTCGAACGACGTGCATTTGACGTCAGAAATAAAGAAAAACCTTCGACAAAAGGTGATCTGGGAGTGACAATAACACAAGTAGCTGTAAAGTTTCTTTGCTAACTGCTAAATGTTTTTTAACTTATGAAACAGAAGAAAATTTCAACTAAAGTCATCTTTAAATTAATCTAGGAAAAAACTATAAAGTTGAACTTTTAAGCAATAACAGTTATAATATAAGAGAAGATAAATTGAATATATAAAAAAAATTATAGAGTCTATAATTTTATCATATTAAACATAACAAGTTGCTAATGTGCAAGTATAGCTCTATAAATTAAGTCGCGGAATGGCTGTAAAGTATAGAAATTTTACAGGGAAAAAATTTCTTAGAGAATTTTAAAATATATATATATATTTATTTATTTATTTATNAATATAATATCTTGTTAAATATTTAAATATTCAAAAATGTATATAAATTTACAATATTTCAATGTTTATAAATATGTTTATCCCTTTAGAAATTTATTTCGATCTTACAACAAATATTTTAAAAAAAATCACAACAAACGTTTTCCATTATTATTTTTTGCATTTTTTTTAAACTTTTCGTATACCTAATAATCATAAATAAATTAACATATCTGTTACACCTCTAGAGATTTGTTTTCTTTTTTTAATTTCATTTTTTTTTTGGTAAGTATTATTTTGTTTACAATAATCATACAACGAATAAGAAATTATCATAAGATGAAAATTTTCTTTGATAAAACCTTTTCCTTGAGGAATTCAACAAAAGATGACGATTAAAAACAGAAGACGAAGAAGAAGAATCAAACTGCATATGTACAGTGTTGTAAACAGAAAAAAAATCTGATGGAATTTCCTTAGGGTAATTATTTTATCGAAGAAATTTGCTTCGCAACATTCCAAACAGAATGTTTCTATCCTAGGGCTATTACCAAATGAAAAACATACCATCTTTTAGTCAAAGTTAGACTTCATTAATTAACCAACTTTAGGCATACTAGAGAAAGAAAAAAATGCAAATCAAATAGATCATTCTCGCTACATAGATATAAACTTAATATTTTAATAATGTAAAATTGTTTTATAGATTAAAATTCTTGAGTTAAAACGAAAGAAAAAGAATCTTTTCGATTGTAGATATAAGATTCTTTTCTACACTTCTTCGCTCCAGAAAGCCAAATAATGATTTTTTTCCTCCTGTTCTTCCTTTTCTGAAGTGAAAACAAGTGAGGAGGTTACTGCTGAGATTAACAGAAATCCTTATAACTTGAGATTAGGACAAAGACTGATTGTATTGCTTACGACAATGGTTATCTTACATATGATGTTGAAGCAAACATTTATGTCACAGTGCGTTGTTGAATTACTTCTATAGTAATACATAAACATCTCGTTGTATGTTATTTGATAACTCTCTTTATTATATGCATTACATATTCCATAAAAATAGTATGTCGTGCAGTGATACTCTTTACTTAATATGATTTATACCGTATACTGTATCACATCTGTAAATGGAATTAAAATATTTATTTACTAGAATTATCATCATTAAATATATGGAAGGAAAGCAGATACGTTTTCGAATTTTGTCAATAATACATCTTTATATGAATTATTTATTATTATTACAATATTTAAAAGCATATACACATTAATTTTTATTAAGGGTACACATGTATAGACCATACTTTATATACTGTATCATTAATAATGTTCTTTACAGTATTGTATTAATTATCGATATTCTCGTTTATTTTGTAAATAATTTTATAAGAGTTATTATAAAATATTTTATAAATTAATATAATTAGTGAAACACCCACTTAATTAGATTTGTTATTATTATATAAATTTACAATAAGTAATTAAAATTATGGTAATGTTATTGTTTACGCTAAGGGTAATTTATGCTAAGGTTTTGTATGGAATATTTATTATAAAAATGGAAAAGATAATTGTAATTTATTTGTTATTTTAATAAAGTTTTTTTTATTATGAATATTTTTTAGAATAATGTAGAAAAGGTAGATGAATTTTTTGAAATAGTATACAATGAATGATTTTGATGGAGTTTACCTATTAAAAATATATTTTTTCCCTCTTCCTTTTCGTAATATACTGCACTCAAGATATCTGGTATCTTGAAAATTGACTTAATAAAGTTTAAAATGATAGAATTCTGTGCTAAAGAAGAGATCAATAAATCATCCACGTTCTTTTACTAAAGACTATTTATTGGTTATTTCAAACTTTCTACTTTATTTGATGTTTTTCAAAGAAAAACTAAAAGATAATCATTACTTTCACTAAACTAATTTCGTTTAGTAAAATAATAATAAGATTTAAATAAAATTATAAAGTAATTAAAGCTGTTTTAATAAGAAACTTAAACAGAATAATTACATTGAATTCTGATTAAGGTATAAGATTTAATCATATATTCGACACTAATTTAAAAATATCAATAGTTTATATGATTTTATTTAAATTATACATTAAGTCTAACAAAATAGATTAAATTTATAATTNAAAGAAAAAAAATAAGTTAAACACTGTAAAATTTATTACTACACTTAAAATTAATAAAAAATATTTAATTGTAATTATTGAGCTGTAATTTGAAAAATTGTACACCTATAAATTCCCACTGTTATCTGTCCTTCCTTAATTAATCTCGAGTTATACGGATGAAAATCGAGACCAGATATGGAAAGCTTAGGGGCAGGAGGCCTGGGTTAACTATATACCAACATACGGTATAGTCCAGAAATCATATTATTTTACTTCAAAAGTGTTTTCCAGAATGGATTTACATAGAAGTCTGTTGTTATCAGAAAAAGTATGAGGTACAGAGTCAAGACACTACTAATTTGAGATGGAAAGCATATATTTTAAATTAAATAAATTAAAGATATGTTTAAAAATTGCAGCTTGGCATTGTGATGATGTCACAACAATTTTTGTTCTTATATTATTTACGAAATGATTTAAGTTAGAATTCAATTAGAAAACGTTAAACACGTATTCCTTCAAGAAATTAACAGAAAGTTGAAATTATATTTGTTTATTTACATATATAACAAAGTTTATTCTCTTATATATTCCTTCAAAGTCTGATTATATGTAAATTATGTTAATGGAATTGTATACTTAAGCACGTTTCCTTATTCAATTGATTTCTACCTGACGAGTTCTGTATGTTTCCCAAGTCGAATTATTTTCTATTTTACTTAAAGTGATCATTGCTGTTTGACCCGTAAAATCAGATAAGTGAACTTAGATACCATAAAGCTATTTATGAGTCAAATAATCTAAAATGACTCATGAAAATTCTAAGTATACCCAGAAAATTATTCAATACGGGCACTAAAACTTTGCGTGACTGAAGGTTATTCGAAAAAAAATATTAATAATATATAAAACAGAAAAAATGATTAAAATATATTATTTTTTACAGTGCTACATAATTAAAAAATAAGATTTTTTTCAATTTTTTTTTTTAAATCTAATTTCGAAGAATTGAGTTAAAATTAATTTGCATTTACTAGTTATCGGAATGTTATCCTTACTGTCGTCATAAAATTCTCACGCATATTTCACTGTATTAACAAGAATGACAAAACAATGGTAGCAACTTGTATATTGTGAATATCCCATCGTAAAATTGTTATCCTGAGTTCCATAAAACGGTGGATTTATTGTAGAATTTATAAACCTAGAACATAAAATACGATAATACTGGCAGTAGAAATAGGGTACTTAACAAGGTTAGAAAAGAAAACAGACAAAGCTCTTTCTTGAGTGAAATGCAAATATATCTTTGATCGAATCCTTTTAATTTATTAAGAATAAATTACGAGACATTTACAAATGAATTCTCTTACTTTTGAACTGTAATTTTTATTAAACTATTTACAAATTCTGTAATTAAGATATGATTAGAATAATTAGTTATTTGCATGTTTTAATTATTTGTGATAATTAAACCATTAAAGTATATTGCCGTAATAAAGAATGAATACATTTTTCTAATTTAATATATTTCTATTTAAGTATAAAAAGAAAAAATAAATAAATAAATTAGTAGGATGCTTAATACTAAGCCATAAATGCAACATTAAGTTATATCTAGTTAAATTATCGATTTATTTAAAACGAAATTCAGTAATATATTATATACACTTCCAACTAATTTTGTATATAGTTTAATAAATACCTAAATTTATTCTTAAGGCATTTATTAAAGAACAAAGGATGCTTCTTGTAATAAACAATTTGATTAAATATCCTTTAGAAAATGAAAAAAAACATTCGCTCTTTCTATTCTTCAGCAACAGCTTCACTAATTT